TTAGCAACAGCAGTGACAAGCGCAGAGACAATCTCAGGAGGAGCAGTAGGTTCAGTGACAAGCGACGCGGGCAAGCGAGAGGTGGTATGTCGAGAAGTGCGAGCTTAGTCAGAGGGAGGAGCAGGGGACAACATGAGCAATGACGGAGGAGGTAACAGAAGAACGGGGTTTGGAGGAGCACGAGAACAAAGAACCATAGGATGGACACTAGGACGAGGAGAGGTAAGACGAACACCAGGGGGAAGACGGACCCAGTGAGGAAGAAAAGGTGACTGGGGACGAGGAGGGAAGTGGGACAGGACAGGGGACGGGGGAGAGCGCGGGGAAAACAAACCGTAGAGGAGTCAGGGGGAGGGAACAGCGTGCTGTAAACAAGAGCATGTATAGGAGGTGGGACGGATGGTCAGTCAAGCGAACCAGAGGAAAGACCAAGGAGACGAAAAGTAGGCTGCGGCTGCTGCTGCTGCCTGTCTTCTCCATGACCTCCAGCTCCACCTCGGCTACCACCAACACTCTCCAGAAAAGCACCCCCAGAACCAGGACCCTCAAAACCAGCACCCCCAAAGCCAGCACCCCCAGAGCTCACTGCCCCCTGCTGCTACTGCTGCTGAGGCCGCTTAGTCTGTTGCGGTGGCCGCGGATGCTGCTGAGGCAAGGGGGGATGCAGCTGAGGTGCCTGGGGTACCGGGGCTTGGGGGGGGCGCCACAAGGACAGCAGGAACGCTCCCAGCAACCGGCCTCCTAGAGTAAGCATACTCCCCCGCAGGGACGACCGAGGGGAATAGAGTGGCATGAGACACCAGACGGGGCCGGGCAGGGTGGGAAGGGTGCGGCAGGCGGGGCAGGGGTAAGAAAGGGAGGAGGAGGAGTGACAAGAGCACTGTAGTGCAGGAAGAGCCTATAGTAGGGGAGCGTCTCGTCGAAGGTAACGTCACGAGAGCGGTAGCAGCGATGGTGCGCTGGTGGTAAAACAGCCAGTCTGGGGCATCAAGTGGAAACCCCAAGAAGACACAAGGAGGTTGTCCGCGCCGGTGGCGCGGATGTGAGCAAGGCTGCCCCAGACGTGGAAAGCAGAAGCGTCACCAGGAGATCTGGTCCATAGAAGGGTCGGCAAAACATGTGGCTGCAGAGAGCGCAGTCACAGGTTACGCCGGTAAGCTTTGTAGCACACAACGAGCGACCACAAAAAATGGGGTGCACCGGCGTGGACCAAGGAGGTGCAAGCTACCTCCATGATCAGGCGGATGCATTGCTCAGCGACCCCATTCTATTGTGGGGAGTTCGGCAGTGTGTACGTCTGGCGGATGCTCTCCGCACCACGTTACTGACCTTGACGGCCAGAGGCGAACTCGCCACCACGGTCAGAATGTAAACGAACTACAGGCAGGCGGTGCTAGGTGCAAATAGCTAGCAGCCACTGGAGGAGAACGGTAGGCACATCGGTCTTCCACTCCAGCGGGAACACCGTGGTGAACGCGAGAAGTCGTCAATGACGACTAGGAGGTAGTGCTCCCGACTAAGACCATGGACTGGGGCAGGGCACAAGACGTCCATGTGCAGTGTCGGTAGTGGCATTGTGGTAGGAGGAAACGATGAGGAGTGAGGGGTGGCGCGCTACCGGCCCTCGATGAAGGAGGTGCACAGGGGCGCCACCGACGCAGGCAGGCAGGGAGCAACGCAAGAAGACCAGTAATTAGACCGTACTGGGACATGTGCCCCAGACGCGGGAGTGCAGGGTGACCTAAGCGGTGGTGCCACACAAGAGTCGAGTGGGCGATGGAGCGATATGAGCAGGACGCGACTACCCCAGCAGACGCAACAACCAGCGGGGACTCTGTGTGTAGTGTGAAGAGACCTGACATTGGGTCACGCTCAAAGGTGGCTAGATGTCTACCTGTAACTGTGCCTGTATAGGCTGCGTGTCTCTCGTGGCCACGGAACATGGTGGTGACTCCTAGGTCCTAGATGTGACCTACACCAACCAAGTTCCTGGGAAACGAGGGGATGTGCAGGACTATGAGGGAACTAGAGGGGACAGTTGGACAAGGGAGAACGGTGGTGCTGCGTGCGCAACAGTCCAACTGGTTTGTTAGTGCGACGGGGACAGGTGTTAGAAGCGGGGTGAGAACAGTACTTTATCTAAAGAAGCAGTGTGACGAGCCAGAGTCTACTATGAAGGAGAGGGCCGACATGGCGGGGCCCAGTGAAGGAGCGCTAAGAGAATCTATGCCTGACGCAGCAGGGGAGTCTACGCCTAACGCAGCAGGGGATTTTAGACTACACACAGTAGTGGATTCTAGGCTACAAATAGCAGTATAATAAGAACCGACAAAACTAGAGTCATCAACATACAGAGATTTTAGGGCATACTCCACCTGAATCATATCCATATCAAATATAGGAACCCAGGACAAAACAAGGCAGGCAAGGGAGGTACCTGCACCAGGGGGCTGAACTGATGGCGGTAGATGTCGTCCATGCGGCGGTAGCAGCGAGCAGTGGTGTGCCTCGCGTGCGCCCCCAGACCTGGACTGTCTGGTACTTGCAAGTCACTGCGCCTCCAAAACTACCGGCACCCTAGCTCACAGAAGAGCCACGCGACCCCCAGGGCACCAACTGCCTTGGGGCCCAACGTCCACGGCCTCCACCACGACCACCACTCCCAAGGCCTGCCAGCCCTTACGGCAGCTGCTGCTATGCAGCCCCCACTCCGGCTGACCACCCTCTCCGTCTGCACCCGTACCCCTTCCTTTCGCTGCTTCCGGCCCTCCACTGCCCTTGCCCCCCTTGCCCTTGCCCCTCTTACCCAAGGAGGGACCGGGCGCGGTGGCAGCCACGACAGTCTCCGTCGCAATCTCGGTGACGGAGGCGGATGTAGGAGGAAATGCACCAGGGAGGGAGCGCTACCCTGAAAGATAGGGACCGTCGACGCGCCAGTGGAACCAGCGATGGCGCGAAAGCGATACTCTCTTTTAGTTAGGGAGGTGGAGAAGGGGTCAAGGGTGTAATACGAGGGGTGGCGAGCGAGGAGTGCGTCACAAACATGGGCAAGGCAGTCAGAGGGGCGGGTGACAAGGAAATAGATAGTGGCGTAGAGGGGTTGGGATGAGAGCCAGCTGGGTCTCAGTACAGACCGCAGGCCAGCGGGCCTCGAGGGAGCATAGGTGCTCAATTAAGTCTGCTACCGTGGTGAAAGAAGTCAGGTCGGGGAAGAAAAAAGGGAGGAGGAGGCGACCTAGAGTGGCAGATGACGGGGTGGAGTACGTAGCAAGAATAGCCGTCTAGAGGGCGCAAACCAACGCAGCACCCACAAAGTGGGAGTGCTCGTCAACCGGCAGGCACCTGAGGATGGCGACACGGGCAGTGGCATTGCGGGAAGCCCAGAATGAGTAGGCGGTACGGGCGGGAGCATGCGCAGCCTGCTGCAGGGACGTCGCGTCAGCAGTGAAGGTGCGTGGGTGGGGGGGAGCAGGGAGCTCACCAGAGACGTGGGCTTCCAAGGACTTGTCGTCCACTCGCTGGCTCGTCAGCTGCAAGAAGACAGTCTCTTACCAGGTGGCAAATCCGGCCACCCGCCACTCCCAATCCAGACGCAGAATGAACATACTAGCGGCTGACATCCTCACTACAGCGGTGGCAGCTGCGGCTATGGAGATAGTGGTGGCAGGAGCGGCGGCAGCGATGACAGCTGCTGCAATGTCAGCAGCGGTGGTTGCCGTGTTAGCCGTGGCAGCTGCTGCAGTGGCTGCAGGAGAGGTGGCAGCGGCGGTAGCGGCGACTGTTGTGGAAGCGGTGGCAGCGGCAGGAGCGGCGGAAGTGGAAGGAGCGGCGGTAGTGGCAGGAGCGGCGGTAGCGGCGGCTGCAGCGGCAGCGGCAGTAGTGGCAGCGGCGGCAGCGACTGCAGCAGTGGCTGCAGATGCAGCGGCAGCAGCGGGCGGCAGCGGGCGGAAGTGACAGCAGCAAGCTGGCAGCTGCGTGGCGGCGGCGGCAAGCCAGCAGCGAGCTAGCTGGTGGCAGCGGCGGCGCTGCTGCTGGCTAGTGAGCGGGTGGCGAGCCAACGGCGAGCTGGCTGGCGGCGGCGCGGCTGCTGGCCAGAGAGCGGGTGGCAAGCCAGCAGCGAGCTGGCTGGTGGCGGCGGCTGCACTGCTGGTGGCTGGCGCGCGGGCGGCAAACCAGCAGCGAGCTAGCTGGCGGCGGTGGCGACGTGACGGTTGGCCGACGAGTGGGTGGCAAGCCGGTGACTAGCGGGCTGCCGTGGGCGAACGCGCTGGCAGCGAATTGGCTAGCGAGCGGCAGCGGGCTGGTGAGCCGGCGGCGAGCAGGAGTGGGCGGCAACTAGCAAGCACGGCACAACCGGGAATGGGCGGGCGGGCAGGCGCTGGGCAGGGCAGACTGGCGCGGGCTGGCGCTGGCTGGCGAACAAACTACCGGGGGGGGGGGGGAGCGGCTAGGGGCAGCACAAAGCGGCTAGGAGTGGCTAGGGGCGGCACAAAGCAGCTAGGAGCGGCTAGGGGCAACTAGGGGCGGCACCAAGTGACTTAGGGTGAAGTCCTACAAACTGGGAGGAGAAACAAGTTGGATCAGAAACATGCGGTACAGTAATCACCCGGATAGACGCCCCTAGGGGGGCGTCTAATTGAATAAAAAACGTTGGGGGGCATTTAATTGAATAAAAAATGCACGCCCATGGGCGTTTAAAATGGTATATAGGCGAATTGATATCTCTGCAATAATAGCTTGTGCTTTGTTTCAAGCGATCGGATCACTTCTAACGAAGATTTTCAAGTCCATCGGGCTGAAAGTCCTATAGGCTATGTGCCTGGCTAGAAACAAACGACTCTGATGCGAATCATGTTGGTGCGAAGTGTCGAAGGGCACAAATTGTGCTTTTGGCTGGCATAGAGCGAGAATTCTCGCTATTATCCGAACTTGTTCCTTCGTTTTTTCACAGTTTTTTACGAAATAAATTAAGGGCGTATAGCAGGCCCTCATATTGCGGGCTTTTTACCCTGATTCAGGGTAAAATCAGGGAAATGTTTGGGGCTGATCCTGATGGGGCATGGATTTTTTTAGACCCAACTCAGGGTTTCTTCTTCTTCTTCTTCTTCTTCTTCTTCTTCTTTCTTCTTCTTCTTCTTCTTCTTCTTCTTCTTCTTCTTCTTCTTCTTCTTCTTCTTCTTCTTCTTCTTCTTCTTCTTCTTCTTCTTCTTCTTCTTCTTCTTCTTCTTCTTCTTCTTCTTCTTCTTCTTCTTCTTCTTCTTCTTCTTCTTCTTCTTCTTCTTCTTCTTCCTCTTTTTTTTTTTTTTTTTTTTCCTGTACTAACGGATTCTTTTCGGGGCCCCTGGCGTAAAATCTACATGTTTCCCCTGCTCGATGTGTGCTGGGGGTTGTGTGAGGGCACATGCTGGCCCTTAGCCAAATTTAGGGCTAGTGCTGGGGGATCTGTTAGGGGGCTTGTTGGCCCCAAATTTAGTGCCCAATGTGTGCCTTGGGGCTTCGTGAGGTCGAGATTTCCCCCCGCCCCTCCAATCTCGTTAGGTTATCCGATCGGATCGATCGGCAAAACCTGATTGGCCGAGGCTTCCTGAAGCAAAAGTCGCCACAAAATGTGGCCTCAGAATCATCATGGTTGCCTCTTCGTTCGTGGGAACCCTCCCTCCTTCCCCGCCACCCCCCAGTCCCCCGTGCCCTCCCCGAATTTCCTTTCGCCAACTCCCTATCCCAACTTTGCAAAATCAGCATGAAATTCTTAAGTAACTCTGATTACTCAGCCGGAACTTTGTTGGGAACCCTGAAAATCAACGAAGTAATTGGGAGAGGGCCTGAAAAATCAGGCTAAACATGCGGGTAGACCCTGAGCCATCAGGGTACGTAAAAAACAATATGAGGCTTTGGCGTAGAGAGTACACACTTCCAAAAAGTAGGGGGGGCGTTTAATCAAATAATAGGTATAAGGCCCATACCACGAGATAAAGCCCATGGGACTTATCCTACGGAGGGGCATCTATCCTGATGATTACGGTACTGTGCAGTGCAAGAGTTTGAATCGCGTTTCAGTGAGGTTCATTTTGGTTACGCGCGTTTCAGATTCTGATCTTTCTAGCTAGGAATTTGCCTTTAGCTTGGGGCGGAAGCGTGGGTAGGTGGGACCTTACCAGGGCCTCAGATAGGAATTCAGGCATCCTGAGCACTCAGGGCTGGCCGCTTCAATGCATATTGATTCCTCAGGGTGATTCCCAAGTTCTATACTAAGGCCCCAGGGTAAGTTTTGGTATGCTGGAAATTGTTGAGCGTTATTCAATAGCAGTAGCAGCACATAATAGAACACCATATTTCATGCATGCAGTGCTGTCAAACGCTTGGGCAGCAACACGCCATGCCAACAGAGCATTGGCGCTTCATGTGTTGCGGTGGCTTGCTGCAGTGCCCTTGGCAAACTGACCAAGACGTGAGAGCTAAGGTAGCAAATTACCAGCAACATGTGCGCTGACACGAGATTCAATACAGGGGATATCCCTGAAGGCATACTGACAGCTCAGGGCTGGTACAGAAACACTAAACTGAAACTACAGAGGGAGAAATGACATGAAACTGAAAACTCAGGTTTGGCACTTACAGTAACTCTCTTCTTGAAAATCAGGAATTCAGGATCAAACATCCTCAAACATGAGGCCCTGGACCTAACCTAGCTTTAGATGCCACGTTAGAATGGCGTGAAAGATTGGCTAGGAAGAGGGGGAGGGGAGATACAAATGCTGAGTGTTGTCCTCTCTAAGAGCTGTCCTAGCTAGGTTATAACAAACATATCTAACCTAGCTAGATGTACATTTATTTTTTAAGAATGATGTCTGCTTGCGGGGGGGGGGGGGCTTGTAGGGAGGGTCATTCCACTTTTTCGTCATTGGGTCTTTGATGGCCGCAATAGGGGTTTGTTGCGTGCGGAGTTGTAGATGTGGTTTGAGGTGTCAGGGAGGGGGATTGGGGTGCTCTGCCCTCTGGGCGGAACGGGTATGGAATGGGAGGGTGTGAGTTAGGCCTCAAGATATCAAGGTAAAATACCCTTATGGCCATTACTATAAGGTTGGGGTGGGTGTTGGACCCTTATTTTCAACACTTTTAGTTTTGGACCCTTACGAAAAAAAACTATGTTTGCACAGGACCCTGATTTTCAAAAGTGGTGTACCGTTAGCACCCTGATGCAGAAAAGGGCCCTCGCAAAATACCCTGATGCGATTATACATGCAGGGTTTAGGATTGGGTGCAAGATTTTTTCCCCAAGTCACACCGCAATCAGCGCCATTACTGCTCTGTGCTGGCGCGCGTCGAGGAGACTGCTCGTGCGTGGAAGTCTAGAAAAAGGACAAACCAATCAGCGACAAGAGTCGTCGCGCCATGGACAGCGCGGCTGAATTTGGTCCTGCAGTGACCTAATCTCCAGGCAAACGACCTTATTGGTGAAAAGAAGGGGGCGCATCCGTCGATCCCCTTCTCCTCTGTTCGGTGCACCACTTCTTCTTCAACTGTTTTTTTCTAGCTCGACTTGAGAGCACCAGGCTACAATGTGCTCTGTGTTTGTATCTCTCATCCGTTTCCCGTGTTTCCAGAGCCTTGACAACAGCCATACCTCCCGATGATGGCGATGAGGAGGAGGAGGATGGTGGGAAGAAACGCCCGCTATCCCCTCCGCGATTGGCCCTAAGTTTCCTCCGTCGCCCACCACTTACAGTCGCTCAGCCATGTCCACCTCCAACCTCCCCTTGTGTCGGGTCAACTCCTCTGACCGCACCCATAGCGGATGTTCGTGAGCATACAACCCCATCTCCCACAGCTCTTCTGGTTTCCACCTCTGGGGGCTTTCCTGCCCCTTCCCCAACTGCTGTGGGCTTGACGCCGTCATCCGCGAAGCGGAAAGCGAGCAGCCAGCAGCAGAAGTGGCGGCAGCAGTGTCTCCCCTCCACTCGGTCAACGGACAACGCCCCAGTTGAGGAACTCGACGACGTCGCCGGCGACGACGCCAACGAGGATTAGGAACCTGCCGACCAAGATAGTTTCAAAGATCCGGATGCTGCTTTTGCAAAAGCGCGCCGACGTTTTAAGTCTTCTTGGGAGAGTTTGTTCCCGTGGCTTGTTCTCGACCGTACAGACGATGGTTTCCCTGTATTGCACTGCAGCACTTGCCTCGAGCATGGAGGTTCAAGCGTGGACACCAATTACGGCAAGGACGGTTGCGGCGGGTGTGACATGCAGAAGAACAGCATCCAGACTCACCAGTGATCCAACGCCCACCGCGAGATGAAGGCAAAGCAGTCAAAGATGCTGCGGCAAAATCTTCTCAATGAGTACAAGGGGCTGGACAAGAGTACGCTCCATCTCATCACCGCCATGAAGACGGCGGTGTACACGTGCCAGTCGGAGGCGCTGATAACACCCTATGTTGGCTTCATCAAATTCATGGCTTCGGTGGAGACTCCCCACCTCTCTCTGTATGTGACGTACATCAAGGATGGCTATGTGCGTACCGAGTTCTTGACGCTCCTTGCCGTACAAAAATGTGATGCAGCAAGCCTCACTGAAGTCTTGGAGACTAACCTGCGGTTGGTCGGCAACGACATGGAGAAGATTGTCGGGATAAGTACGGACGGCGCATCTGTCATGGTAGGCGAGCACAAGGGCGTCGTCGCACGGTTGCGTGCGAAGCTATAGCACCTAGTATCATGCCACTGTATCGCCCATCGGTGAGTCGACTCTGGTGTTTGGTGTTTGACGGCTTGTCTTTTGGTTGTTGGTTTCCAACTCGCATACGATGTCATGTTCCAATGTCCCACACTTCGTGTGCGTCTGTGTGTTCTCTCCCCCCCTCCCTACTAGTGATTCTCTGATAGCCAAGGATGCGGCTGGGAATGTCAGAGACTTCACCATCATCGACCAGGTCATCAGAAACGTTTCTGAACTGCTGTCAAGGAGCGGGATCTAGCACAGGCACTTCAAGATGCTGCAGGAAGAGCGGTGAGACACAAATCTGGAGCTCCAACGAATATATGACGTCCGGTGGCTTTCACAGGAGAGAGCGGTGAAGCGGTTCGTGCAGCTGCTGCCGGCTGTAATCGTGCTTCTGCACGAGTATCATCACGAGCTCTACGGACTTGTGAAGAATTCAAGTTTCATTTCCTTGTGTACTTCCTGGCAGATTTGCTGGAGGTGCTCAACGACCTCAACGTCAAGTTTCAGAAACAGCAGGTGAGGTTTCTGATGGCATTGACCTCCTGTTTGTTTAACCGCCAGCCCTGAGTTCTGTCGTTCTTTCACTGCTTTATGCCCGACCTCAGGTGGACATCACACTGGTCGCTAGCGAGGTTAACCTGGCATGCAGAAAGATCTAAGTGCGCTAAATCGATTGTGAAAACAAATTCGGCCGGATTTCACCGCTTCTGAAGACCTTCCTGAAGGAGCATGCCAACCTCTAGTTTCGAGAGGTGACAGTCGACACCTTCGACAAAGAGGACGCTCCAACAGTGCATACCTTCACGCTCAGAAAGAGTGCAGGGGACTACCCGACCTGCGTGAAGTTGTGCAGGGAGTATGCGTTAGAGGCGAAGGCACGGCTAGAGCACAGACTAGACAACCTACATGATCTCAATGGCGCCAAGCTGTTTCGGCCGCTTGTGTATCCCGAGGATTGGGCATCCTTGATGAAGAAGGCCAGGGAGTGGTTGACTCTGCTAGATAAGCTTTTCCACTTTAAGCTTCTCGGTGAGTTTATTACGCTACCATTTCTATTGCTGATGCATGGTGTACCTGTTTCGCTGACACGCTGTTGCTGCCTTGCACGCCCTGATCTCTTCCTGCATTGCGTCCTCCCTCCCTCCCCCCCTCCTCCTGCCCATCCTTCCCACCCGTTTCCCCCACCTCGCTCCTGGGGGTCAACTTCAAGACCTGCGTGTCGGAGCTGCATCTCTTCCTCCACACGATGAACACCAGCTACGCGAGTCTAGGCTTTCACAAGTCCCTGAAGCTCATGCTGGACAGCACGGATTACGAGGGAGCATACCCCAACATCGTGCGGCTGTGGCAGGCGGTCGCCATGCTGCCCCTCAGCACGGTTGAGTGCGAGAGGGGTTTCAGCCACCAGAATCGCATCAAGTCGTGGACGCGTAGCTGCCTGGGCGATGGGAAGCTCGAGGACCTGATGACAATGGCCCTCGTGCAGTGCAACATGGAGTGGCTGAAAATGGTTGAGATTTTCCGAACCATCAAGGACCACCGCCCTGCTACCCAGTTTGACAGGGCCGACTGAAAGCACCGAGAGCAGAGGGTCTCCTCCTCTCCTCCAGCAGCAGCAGCATCATCACCAGCAACACCAACAGCAACAACAGAATCTGGATATGATTTCAGTAGCATGGATGATTATA